TACGTTAACGCTAAAACGTATTTGTGGTCGTCGTTCTTGAAATTGATGAGAATTTTCAATTGACCAGTAATGTTCATTGTCAAAATTTCAAAATTTTTACCGCTTGCAAAATTGCCTGCTCCTATTCATTGGGTCTATCACCATATTACTGTCTACATCTTTTAAAAGAACCATATTCGCCCAAGTTTTTATGCAGCAAAGAAAAATACCTCAAACTAGATTGTTGCCGCTCTGTATAACGCTGGAAGTAGGTATGTTGCAGCAGCCATGTGGCCATTTCGATGAGAAGTGTAGTATCTTTGATTCATATCTCTTTGATCTGCACTTGAAAAAGGCATTTTCGCATACAACTAGCATAAACCTAAATGGCATTACATGAAATAAGTCAAACAAAAGAACGTTTTCTTTTTCCAAAGCACTCTTCTCAAATAATTAAAAATTGTATTTTTAGGAAAAATGTGATACTGAACCACCCTGTTTGATATATCGTTGTAAAGAGAAAAAAAGACGTAATCTCAAAATGTGAAAATTCAAAATGGCGCCCATAAGAAAAACTAAAGTTGCCACGTGTTTCTCCGTCATCTTGAAAGTTATTAAAAACAGGATGCCATCTCCATTAAAAAGTGTCCGAATAATGTGTTAATTAGAAATGTCGACTACAATTAGTTTATCATAAAAAAATTAAAAACGATATTTCAAATTTCTTTTCAGATTCTTTTTCGGCACGAAAATTGGCAACTTTGCCCCCATTTAACCAACTTTCTATCTCTTAAGATAAGTGAGATCCCCATAGTGGCACTCGAAAAATGGACACCGTGTATACTACTACTTTAATATCGAAAGGAAAAAAATTGTTTGCGTTTCGTAATCGTGCACCTGGAAAATGCGTTTGAATGGATTCCCTGGTGACACACTTAGGTACCTAATCATTATTGAAAAGAGTATCTATTTAACATTCTGCTAGCGAAAGATTCATTTTTCTACGTACGGAATGCGGTGGCAATCGCAAGTACGTAGAGAGTTAAATACGTGCGCTCATCTCATCTGAATAATTCCAGCACTCCGTCATTGGGCAAATCAAAAAATCGAGCAGCGCCTAAATCCCAAAAGAAGTCACGTAATCACGTACGCTCCCATTTAATAAAATAATTAGCGCAATAAACTGAATTCATCATCGTCACGATTTGTTGCCGCATAATGTGTGCGATATCACGATTTTATTTAAACTTTTTTACATTTTATTATTATTATTGTCGTCAAAGGGCATCCGTACGGGAGATTTTATCTCGCGACGATATTTTCGTCCTTTATGAGATTCTAAAATAACAGTTACTTTCCCAAACGACCGTCTTTAAAGGTACAGATTTGAACGTTAGCGTTTAATTTGTGTTGGAAATGAAATGTGGCTTCTTTCTTTCGTTTATTATTCGTGGAAGATGCTTTTGGTATTTGGAAAGCACGACATTATCCTTTTATTGAGGAAATGCACGTAAAATACATGGCAGACGTAGTGTGCTTTTGAGCATATGCGCAACGTTTGTCACTTTCTTTTTATAATTTCTTCTTTTTTTTATCTAGAAGTTTGTCCTAATTGCTACTTTCAGCCAGAAGTTAGTCTTCTATTTAACTGTAAAGTAGTCCAAATTACCCCTTTTCACTGACAATTAGCTAAAGCTCGTTGTTATACTTATGAATTGGTTTATTTGCTACAATTACTTTTAACTGGAAGTTACAATTAGGCCCAACTTACAGTTAAATGTTGTAATTAATCCTAATAATTACCAGTTAAAAGGGACAACCTTCAATTAAATTTAGGAAGTACCTCTGACTGCCGGTTAAAAGTTATAATCATGTAAATGTAGCCAATGTAGGTACATCGCCTGAGTTGGGGACGAGGTTGGGGATTATGTAACACACTGTATATAGAATCATTTCTTCTAAAGTGTAGGAACTCGATATAGGACTTGCACAGTCGCCTACATGTGTAAGTTTAATCATATTTGATTTTGATTTTTAAAAAATAATTGAAATAGAGTTTTGCCAAGTTTGTCAATTAATATTTCAAAAACTTTAACAGAATTTGTTTAGTATCTCATCTTAATAGTTAGAAAACACGGTTAGTGGGTTCTACATAAAGATTGTGGAAAATGGCACGGGCACGTAATTGGGTAATTCAAAAGGATTCGTAGGAGACGGTGGCGGTTTATTGCTTTAGAATAGAAAATTGAGTTAAGGGTGAATTGGTGTCGAATACGTAAATACTTCAGCACGCGCTTCGGTATGCAATAATTTGTGATACCGGCATAATTTTATTATGTAGGTCCGTTTTTGGTGGATTTCCACTCCCTTCCAATTTGTCATACTTGATTTTGTGGTGAGAGCGGATACTTAATAACAATTATAACGACTATAAAATTATAAAAGCAATTTTTCCCCTGATGCGCATATCTAAGTGACATAATGAGAAGCGTCGATTATTTAATTATCTTTGGTCCTTATTCTCCATAGCTACGCAACGCGGTGTAAATTCCCTCCAAGTTATAACCTTCTATATACCTAAACGCGCAATTAACAGTAAATTGGCGAGGCTAAAATATCATGGTCCTCCTCTTATTAATAAACGTTAATTAATAAAATTTTAATTGCTATTGTCATCAAATATACTTTAAAAGGAAGGATCACAATTTTAAGAATACGGCAAGTCAACCACCCAATGCTATTGCATTGGCAACAAGCAATTTTATAGAGTAATCAAGTAGGTATAAATTGTGCGCAACTCTTAAGCAGATATTATTTTTTAATTGATTCTGCATAAAAAGGTGCTCTAAGAAAGACTTTGCCCAAATCAATTATCTTTAATAATAAGAAAGTTGGCGTTGAAGAAATCGACTAAATTCGAGAAACGCCCCCTAGCGACCAAACGATTAAAAAGAGCTGAATTTTGTTTTTTTTTTTTAAATTCAGCTCGAGACACCTAGGTCCTTTTTCTATCTCTTAAAATAAAGGGTGTTTCCATAAGAAAGTGTCCAATTTGAAACACCCTGTACCTAGATACGGAAGGGACTGTTGGACTTATTTTATTGCTAAAATTTCTAGTGACTTGTCACTAGTATAGATTTTCCTTTCCGCAACCGTCTTAGATTTTCCATTGCAACAAAAATTTATTTGCCATTGTAAGAATTTTCATGAAAAATTGATTCTTTTTTAATGTAAAATAGTGAAATTTTATTTCTGTGCCCTAAGATCCACTTAGCCTCAGATTTGAATACAAATAATAGATTAGAACAACATAATTTTGACACCTGTATATAAAGTGTTGCAAATTACACGGCAATAAAGATACTAAATCACCACTTAATTTAGTAAGTGTTTCTCTAATCTCCATCCACCGCAGCCCCTCCCACTCGTTTACCATTTATATTTTTAAACTGGAAACAATTTCCAAAAGAATTCATCGCGTTAAAATTACATTCGAGTATTTATAGTCCATTTAAAAAAGCGCGCCCACGCCGCCGTTAACGTCGTTACCGATTCCGCTAACCGGCAGAAAATATGCAAAAATGTACGCGAAAAAGAGCAGCGCGCACAAAACGAATAACAAAAAGGCACCGATCGTTACCAATTAAAAAAGAATAACGACACGATGTTAAAACAATATTATAAATTCGACATTGCCAAAAAGGTTTAGCATAAATTTATCCCTCCAATTTAATCTGATTTTATATACGAAATGAATCGGTGAGAGAGGCCAACCGCAAAAATAAAACGAAAGGAATCCACCTGCACCTTTTCTCGACATACCTACCTATGGGATACCCGATGGGAACGAAAAAAAAATGAAGAATGCGACAATAAATTTTAAAGGGTTTTTGCTCTCTTCTTTGTAATTTGGAATTTGACCACCGAAAAAAAAATCGCCGCGATTCTTTGATAAAGGGGAGACGGATCCGTTCAAGGAAAACTTGACTCACTTTGTAGAAATGGCGAGTCATGAGGAGACGTGCTTGACATACAAAAAAAAAGTAGTAAGTAACTGTTTGTTGCAGTTTCTTATTCATCCAAGTCCACAGAAGATCTGAATCTCACGAACTTTCCGGAATACGGGGTGTTAAAAATAAAAATTAACTCAATTTTGTATATACTTACAGGGTGGTGACTTGCGTAACGCATCATAGGGATTTCAATGTAAAATTCATAACATGCGATTATTGGCTCCCCAAATTATTTTAGAGCAAAAACGTATTAAGGTTTTTTGTAGAAAAACATTTTTTACGTCAATCAACCGTATTAGTTTTCAATTTTTTGCATAATAAAAACGGAAAATTGGAAAACTAAATCCCCCATCTTTTTCAATAATCTGAGATGCCATGGAATTTTCTAAAACAAAAAGATATCCATGTTATCAATAATTAGCAGCAGTTCGAAATGGATTTTATGATCGACTTGGTTACTGTCTTGCAGTACTTATTGGAACATTTATTTTATTGTAAATTGTTATTTTAGGAAACCGTTTTTAGTAATTTGGTATTTCTTTATGTTGAATTCGCTGTTCTAAATATAATACTTTTTGATAGAATTTGATTTGTTTTGACATTCCATGGCATGACGGATATTGGCGTAGTTTTTGTGTTATAAAATTCCATGGCATCACAGATTATTGAAAAAGATGCGGGTTTTATTTTTCCAATTTTCCGTCTTTATTATGCAAAAAACTGAAAACTAATACCGCTGAGTGAAGTCAAAAATTTTTGTCTACAAAAAACCTTAATACTTTTTGCTCTAAAATAATTTGGGGAGCCAATAATCGCATGTTATGAATTTTACATTGAAATCCCTATGATGCGTTACGCAAGTCACCACCCTGTATATTTTATGGATTAAAATTGATCTAAAATCAGTTTGTAAAATACACTGGATAGATGTGAAGTCATTGTGGGTGAAGACAATTTTACTTGTATGACTCAAAAAGTTGAAAACATGGCATCTAGCCCATTGGCGATACTTAGATTAATTTTAATTTCAGGTAAAACGTGCGTGTGGACCAGCAAAACTGTTAGAAGTCACTGAAGATCCCAGAGTAATAGCCACATCAACGATCCCGCCGAACTCTGTAGGAAACGGGAGTAAGCGAGTCGCGTCAAACTTTAGGATTTTTCCCGCCTCCCCCGTCAATCAACTGCAACAATTTCTGGTGTCGATAGCGAAAAGTAAAGGTTTCTACGGAAATCTCGCCGATAGCCTTTGCAGAGATGAAAGTTACGCGGAACCGAAGGATATCCATTGTTGGAATGGCGAACGTATTGGAGAGTAAGTAACTTACTAATCATGAATTATAAAAACCTAAGATATGACATTTTTTCTATAACTCCTCCTCACCCCTGCCATACAGCAGTGGTGAATTTTAGATTATTTTTCAACTTTTCCAAAATGGTATCGTGTGGGGCCGGGGATCCCAATACTCTCTAGTCAATACTGAACAATCTACTTGCAGGTACACGAAAACCGTCGTAGATTCGGGCATTAGCATGCAGAAGTACAACCCGGAGGTAAAGCCCAGCATAGACTTGCAACACTTGGATCCCAGAATAGCAAATTTGGCGGACAAATTGCGACACGTTCATCAGGTATAACTCGCGCTATTACAATTAATCCACCTTGACCCTTGACAATTTCCAGATGATTATCGCGGCGCTGGGAGCAGCCGGTCTGCCCGAGTCGGATAATTTTATGCAAAGCGATAGCGCCGACGGGTCCGGTTCGGGAGGCGGTCCCGACATTTTGGACGATACGGACGACGCGGATGGACGAAGCGGTTCCGGTTCCGGAAATGGTCCCATCGTTACGCCCAACAGTAAGTTGTGCCATGGTTACATTTCAAATATTTTATTCGAAATTTTGTTTTGTTATCAAAAATTATGTGTTTTGCAAATTTTTGGTCCACTTTTGCAATTTACTTGTAAATTTTAATTTTTCTGAAAATTTTCTTTCCACTGGATCTAAGACAATGTACAATATTTTGCAATATGTACAAAATGGTAGCCGAAGTGCACGCGGCGAGTGAGCGCGGATGCAGGTTTTCTAACGAGTGAAGCGTGGCGCGAGGTCAAGCTGGCAAAGGCGTATTGGTTCTAAGGAACTCTCTGTGATGTGTAGGGCTCCTCCTATGTCCATCATCGTTCTAAGGAAAAACCTCTGAACAATTTTTGCAAATTGCGTGATAAATAAAAATTTAGATATTTTAAAATCCTTCAATTTTTGTAAACTGTCAGACTCTCTTCTGGGGAACTGCTTGCCTAAACCCATTGCGAAGACTACCTTTTTCGATAAGGTGTTTACTGGTGTTAAATGCGGAATATTTTGTTGAGAAGTGCAAATGCTTTTTTAGGGGAATTTTGGAAAGAAAATAAATGCACCTTATGTGACGGTTTTGTCTCTCTGTACTCTGTTCCTCGTCTAACTCGAGAATGAAAAGAGTTTCCGTGGTTTCCCAATTCGACTTGAATGGCAAAAATTCTCCTCCTGAAAATCATGTGCGATTCTTCGTATCTTTGTTTTTTAAGGTCTCACCGAAAAACTGCAAATCTTGAATGAAGTTTAAGGTGAGACCCATTGAAAGGGGTGCGTATTTTTAGCGCATTTTTTTAGGAATTAAAAAAAGCGCTATTGTTTGCATTTTGTCCATCCGGACCCACTTCTACCGTTTTGAATTACTTTTAGAGTCCTGGAATTTTTTGCAATAGGTAACCTACACGGTGTCCATTTTTCGAGTGCCACTATGGGGATCTCACTTATCTTAAGAGATAGAAAGTTAGTTAAATGGGGGCAAAGTTGCCAATTTTCGTGCCGAATAAGAATCTGAAAATCGCAAAAAATCGAAAATTTCTGATTTTTTTTTAAATTTTTTTATGATAAACTAATCGTAGTAGACATTTCTAATTAACACATTATTCGGACACTTTTAATGGAGGTTTCAAATATGGCATCCTGTTTTTAATAACTTTCAAGATGACGGAGAAACACGTGGAAACTTTAGTTTTTCTTATGGGCGCCATTTTGAATTTTCACATTTTGAGATAACGTCTTTTTTTCTCTTTACAACGATATATCACACATGGTGGTTCAGTATCATATTTTTCCTAAAAATACAATTTTTAATTTTTTGAGAAGAGTGCTTTGGAAAAAAAACGTTCATTTGTTGTGAACAAATGTTTGACAGTTTGATCCATCTGTCTGGTTGCAGCGTTGTCAGAGAAGTAGAAATTCGATTTTCATCTGAACAGAATTGAACCTTCGCTTTGCAAGAAAATTATAATTAAAATTAGAACAAAATACATAACATGTGTTCAAATTGCCCGCCTCCTCATTCTGAGCACAGTGCCACTCTCTTCCTAAGATTTGCTATGGCTCTTGACACATCCCTTCTTCTAATCTTGTGCCTGAGAGTGCTCACAATTCTATAACGAAGTTCATCAAGGTCGGCTGGCAATGTTTTGTAAATTTAATTTTTCATTGTTCCCCACAAAAAATATTCCAAGGGAGACAGATCAGGTGACCGCGCCGGCCAGCGCACGTCGCCATTATTAGCAATAACATGATTGGGGAACAATTCCGATAAACATTCCCCAACCCTCCTAGCATTATGGGGCGGTGCGCCATCTTGCTGGAACCATATCAAGTTCAAACGATGAAGAGGAACGTTATTGTCAATAAAATCGGTTAGAAATGTCCTCAGGAAATGGAGGTACCGACAGGGGCGGACTGGCACGGGGGGGCGGGTGGCGATTGCCACCTAGCCTGTAGATCATAATGGCCCGTTGGAAATTTATAAGTATGTGCTGTATTTAGTTTCTTGCACTATTAATAAATTATTAGCACGTTTCTCTAATTGGGGTTGATGTTAGGTTGTTAAAAAATTCTGTTTTAATTGAAGTGTTTTACAATGAATTTATCATTTTTTGTCGTAGCATGAAAGTGCTGAAATACAATGATAGGCGACGCACCTCGTGTGGATTGTATATTTTGTTACTTTTAATTATCAGCTGCAATTTAAAAAAAAACTGTATGGTAATTGATTTTCGAGAAAGGAGTACTTTAAAATGTTTTTGTGGTGCACCTCAGAGCTAACCCCCCCCCCTCGCCACCTTCATTACTACACTAATACTTTAATGGCCCCGTAAGTACCCAGTCCGCCCCTGTGTATAACCTTCCTTTTTTACCAAAATTCAACTACACCAAAATTTCTCGGGAAAACACTTTTTCTTATTAATTTGGGTGCGTAGAATCCAAATCAATTCGTACTTTTTCGATCAGACTTGTCAATCAAAAGTTATAGATTAGAAACCAATTTCGAAAAAAAATTCAAAGGGCTGTAACTTTTGAACTAGTAGCCCAATCTTGGAACTGTTTGAAATTACGGATTCTACAGGCCACATTCTATAAGAAAACGTTTTTCCCCTGTCGATCTGAGACAATTTTTATTTCGGGGTTCAAAAAAAGGCAGTGTATAACCTTCCTTTTTTACCAAAAATTGACTGCACCAAAATTTCTCGGGAAAAATGGACACCGTGTATATGTTGAAGGTGTGCCAGACAGCATTCTGATGAAAGGTCTCATCGAAATAAATTGATGTGTACAAACTTCCCCACACGACTCTCTTTCGAGATCAGTGGGTGACGAGGCCTGGGGGCAACTGGTTTTATCGGTCTCAATGAAAGGAATTCATTTCTACCAACCATAGCTCCTCCTCGGCCCCTTATCATGATTGAATATATTTCCTCCAGAACAAATTGTCAGAAGAGGTACTCACAAAAGGGCGATTGGGACGTCTGGAAGAAATATATCTATTGGTGATGTCAAAGCTTTCAGTTCAAACATCTGCAGAATGGAGTGTCGGAGGATTTTGAATGTATTCCAGGCAGCTTTTAAGTGTTTATGTGTAAAGAGTCTCCACCCCATCTATCATCTACCAAGAAAGTAAACGTCGGTAACATGCTACTACTTTCGGTTTAAAAAAATGCATGCGCACAAAAGTTGTGCACAATTTATACTTGTTGTGTCATCCCTTTCGTTAAATGTGCACTTTTTCAAACTCTCTGGAAGCACAAGGGCCCATTTTGATTTTAACATCACTTTGGAAACACTGTATAATAGGGTGCCTATAAAAGTTTTGAGAGGACGGCAGAATATGCCCCGAAAAGCAGACAAAAGGCCTATAAAATCTTTCATGTGCTTTTCAGCTTTTCAAAATTTTTATAGTGCATATAACGGAGAGCCTCTTAAATGGCTTGAATGGAACTCAATAAACTATTTATAGCTTTTGAGATACTCCTATTCGCTTTGCAAGCCTAGATAATGCCGTAGAAGGAGACTAGAAGGCATTTAAGGGGACTCCCTTTTAAAATGAACAATGGGAATTTTACTTGATAACAATTTTTTTCGTGCAGATCCGGTCAATAGCGGCGGAGGACAAACGCGCGTTGTCAACTACAACGGTAGCGGAACCGGTCGAAAACACGACCCGCAACACGCCACCCCACAGGAACCAGCCGAAGTGCCAAGGAACGACATTAACGAAAACTCGGGTAGCAAACGGTATTGCGATTTCACGTTGACCGCCTACGCAATTTCATTAGTCGTCTCCCTAACGAGATATTAACTCTCATATCAATGTGAAAACGTTTCCTCATGATTTGTGCCATGTCGACATGGTTGGACAAGAGTATTAGTGAGTTTAACTTTTCTCTATTTTACCCGCGTCAGATGCTATTCGAATAAACTGCATTTTGCATTTATAAGAATGGTATCTGGCCATTTTCGAGAGGGAGAACTTATTTATAGTTAGGACAATAAATTGTATAAATGCGAAAAGGTGCTAAGGAACTCGATTAGAAAACGAAAATTTGGATTAACATCGTGTTAATGAGGGTCACCTTAAAAATTGGCTGTTGATAAGTAATTTATTTTTTGTAGTAGGTATTAAAATTTAAGATGCGTTAAAGGGAAATTGTTGAACGCTAAGATTATTTAAGTTAAAACCCCATGCCATGTATATAGCTGTTACGATAGTTTAAGAAGACTGTATGTATTAGGTTTAGTTATTTTTTAATTTATAACAGTTGCCAAGTTCCGGTTACGCGAATAACTGCTTCCAAATTCTCTCGTTAACTGAAGATATTTAAAAATTTTAAGCTTAGTTGTCAGTTATTTGATGTTTAGACCTTATACAATCTTTAGGTGCTATAAGTGGCTGGGAGAATTGAAGCATTCTCTCGCAATCGGTGTGTTTTAAAAAAAAAGTATCGTGTCTTTCCATTAATTAGGTTCTGCTTTATGAGTAGATAAAGCAAACTGTTTTTGTTAAATAACTTTCTACTTAAATAATTATTGTATTATATATTAAGGATGAGACTGTGTGATGTGTGTAGATAGGTTTTGTGTAACCTTAAATTATTTTGAGAATTATCTGTGATTTACATATTTTATTATTTAATTGTGAGACACCTATTTATAGGGTATATAAATTTGTTAAACAATCGGTATCAATTCAGAAAACAGAAGTCAGTAGCGTAGAAAATTACTATAGAGACAAAAATGTAACAGTCTTGACCAGTTTTTATAAACATGTTGTGCAGTTACTATTTTGGAAAATATAGTACGAAATGCCTGTGTTATCTTCGTATAAAATATATATAGGACAAATTACCTTTCAAGAAATAGCTTAAGATGGTACCTAGATAAGTTTCCATTGCTTATGAAGCAAACTTTTACGTCGATGTATTTTTTTTAATTACCTTTTGTAGGCTTTTAAAATGACAGTATTTGCACAACGGAAAGCAATAAGATTACATATGTAACGGAAAATACAGACGAATCGCTCACTAACAAAACGTAAAATTGTCTATTGCAAAAATATCAACTAACTAGTCTTAGCTTTGTAATGTTATTCTTTAGGAATCAATTGATCATTTGATATAAATGTAATTATTTGCCATTATTTTGGTAGAATAAAAAGTGCTGCCTTTTTATCATATCTACCTTTTCCTGTCTACATTTTACTTTCTCTTGCATTGTACCATTTTAATACACTAATATTAACTTGGGATTTTTATTAATTTTAATTAATTTGCTAACAGTTTTTCAATTATTTGAAATTTTAGGAATATGCAATCAAATGTACCCACCTTAATACTGCCGTTTTTAACGTAAGTAAGACAGGCCCATTATTTTTGGGATTTGTGGTGTCTTGTCCAATACATGAAACCGCTGTTATCAGGTGCTTACAAATTGGAGAAGAAAGAATAGAACAGAAGTGATAAGCAATGAAATGGTTAAATCTGTCCTAAAGGTCGTATTGAGTTGGAAAGAGGATAGAGTGGGGAAATGAAGGCAAGATTGCAGGTGTCTGTGGTATTCCAGTGGATCTCACAAGAAGAAGCGTTGAAAAAGCTGACAGAAGGATTGACCCAGGGAGTTTATGAGAGCAATGTGATACTGCTGGTAAAGAAAAATGGCATTAAGAAATTTTAGAGTGCAGAACCTTTAGCTTGGTTGTGCATGTTGCACCAATACTGTTACAGGTGTTAAAACAGGAGATTGGCAAGAAGAATCGAGGAATGGGTACAAGCATAGGTATAGGAAATACAAGTACAAGGTACCTTGTCAGTTGTCATAACATTTGCAGATGTGTAAAATGAAACAGAAGGGAGATAGGCAGCTTCTCAATAATCTTTATATGAGACACAAGGATTGGGGAGAGGATAACTGAATGGTTTGCTATGGGCAGAGCAGTGTTGTGTTTCTCCAACTCTTTTTCATATGTATGCTGTGGAAATGGCAGAAGAATACTGGAATAGAACTAGGAGTTTGTGAAGATAATGTGAATGAAAGAGAGAGGAGGGTACGCAGCAATAAAGAGGTAAGGACAAGTTTGAACATAGCAGAGGAAGATCCCTAGAACCTGTAGGATGCAGAGAATCAATGATGATGCGATTTAGTAGGTAGTAAAAGTCTGTTCAAAGTTATCTTGAATAGGGTCAGATCTTTTTACGGTCTCGCCTCTTCCCCAATCCCTTATTCTATTCATAGGAGAGCCCGACCAGGCCATACAGACACACCAAAGACCCATTGCAAAAAAACTGTATGGTAATTGATTTTCGAGAAAGGAGTACTTTAAAACGTTTTTGTGGTGCACCTCAGATCTACCCCCCTGGCGCCTTCATTACTACACTAATACTTTAATGGCCTGTAAGTACCCAGTCCGCCCCTGTGTATAACCTTCCTTTTTTACAAAAATTCGACTACACCAACATTTCTCGGGAAAACACTTTTTCTTATTAATTTTGCTGCGTAGAATCCAAAACAATTCGTACTTTTTCGATCAGGCTTCTCAATCAAAAGTTATAGACTAGAAACCAACTTCGAAAAAAAATTCAAAGGGCTGTAACTTTTGAACTAGTGGCCCAATCTTGGAACTGTTTGAAATTGTGGATTCTACAGGCCACATTCTATAAAAAAAATGTTTTTCCGGGTCGGTCTGAGAAATTTTTTTTCGGGGCTCAAAAAAAGGCAGTGTATAACCAGGGGCGCACTGGCCCGGGGGGGCGGGTGGCGATTGCCACCTGGCCTGTAGATCATAATGGCCCGTTGGAAATTTATAAGTATGTGCTGTATTTATAGTTTCTTTCTTCACTGAGTCCCGCTGTTCTGGTGAGGCCATTTCCCTTACCTGACGCAGCCTTTCGTCACAAAAAGTGACGTGCGAGACCCCCACTGGAATGATTGCCACCAGACGCGAAAACACATGTATCGAAAAAATCAGCTTCTGAATGATCAGAATCGGAATAATAATAATAATAATTTCTTTATTAGCACGAACATGAAATAACTACAGTAGAAAAAAAGAAACTAAACATCATAATTGAATATTATTATATTGAAATTCACCTTCAATAATGTTTAAAGTTCAATAAGAGCCTTGAAGATTCTTCATGAGTTTTAGTACCTTCACAGTAGATATATCTACTATACCGTTAGATTTTCAGAACTATTCAGGGCACTATGATCCTTTATTCTTTTTAGGACCTTTCAACACTCTTTAATTAGTCTTTTTAAGCCTTTTAAAATACTTTTCAGAATGATTGAGCCCCAAAAAGAGCTTTCATTTCATTTTTTATGACTAGTCAAGGCTCATGTCTTCTTCAGGTCACTGCACATCAAACTGTCAGGAGCCTTTAAGAATCCTTCTACAATCACATGGATTTTAAAAAATCTTAATAATTCAAACCCTTCAAGATTTTGCTAGGCCTTTCATAAAAATGTTTAAAACGCTTCAGCATCTTTTAGGGTTGTTTTGAATTAGGTATTCAAAATAGCTTCAAGACGCTTTAATACCCCTTAAACTTCTTTATGATTCTTCAAGCCTTTACACTTCATTCAATGCTCTTTAACAGAACTCTTTTAAGGACCTTATTCTTCACTCAATGCGTTAAGATTAAGACTGCTCATTCTATATTACTTTAGGACCGACCAAGAGTTCTATTCTTTGTATCGCGTCAGGGAGGAGACCCCGCACTTATTCCATAATTAATTTTCTGAATGAATACCTGCTAAGTAATTCGGGGCGTTTACTTATTTACTTAGTTATAAGAAATTTTTAAATAAAAGAAATCAAAGAGGGGTGTAGAGGGTCCAAATAATGTCTTCCTCCTCGCCTGTAAATTTTAGATTCCCATTGACTTAAAGAAGCAACCCCTAACAGGATCCACATGCTTCCATTTTCTGCAACTTATTATCGGTAGAGGGCCCTGGGCTGTTGCGCAGATAAAATTTCATTCACTCCCTGTAGGGATGCAAGTGGTAAGTTGCAGTGCGCAATATATGCGGGAGATGGCGCTGAAGTGAGTTTTTCAACCTTTCGATTTCGATAAAGAAAGGTAGGAAAATAAAAAGAAACAGAAGAATTAAAGAGGTGCGCCGTCAACATGTTGTGTGTATCATCATCAGGCGAGGGCCAGGGCGATTTAACAAGAAAATAATGTGTTTTATACCGTATTATGTGTGATATTAGATTATAAAGGACCAAACATTTCTACCATCGATGTATTTATTAGAATTAATTGTAAGATACGATTTCTGTTAAGAATAGTTTTGTTTTCGTGTATTCAAGAACAAAATGGCGCATCAAATGCCCCCGTCGGTGAATTGTTCTTTGGATGAAATTGATTTGGGCGCTCTCAAAGTAAGTCGACAAAATATCCAAGTTACCCCCTTGATTATTATTGAAATTGTTCGAGTGGGCGTGTCCCAAGACTGCCTTAACTCCAAATTTTTTCTTTCTACATTTTGACCCTTAAAGTAAACAGAGAGTATTATTTGGGTGTGAGTCATTCATTCGTTATTACATACTTTATTTGATACCTGATTAATTAAACACTTATCCTTTTAGGACCCTGCTGGCATATTTGAACTTATCGAAGTTGTCGGCAATGGCACTTACGGACAAGTCTACAAGGTATGTCACTCATTCCAAGAACTCGCTATTACTCATTTTTGGGAATTTTTCTCATGTATCTCGGTCTGATTATTTTATGTAACGATTGTTTCATGGCTATTTATATTGGCATTTGTCATCGAGACAATTGAACCGTGTCCGGGACAATTGCCAGGGATAGTCTTCAATTAAATTTTCATTTAATCGCAGGGAAGACACACAAAGACGGGTCAACTTGCCGCCATCAAAGTCATGGACGTGACCGAAGAGGAGGAGGACGAAATTAAACTGGAAATTAATGTTCTCAAGCGATACTCGAATCACCGTAATATCGCAACCTACTATGGGGCTTTTATCAAAAAATCGCCCCCCGGCAAGGACGACCAGCTGTGGTTAGTAATGGAGTACTGTGGTGCAGGTTCGATACATTTCCAATAAAATTCCCACGCTATCTTCGACGGTTTCAGGGTCCGTGACTGATTTGGTTAAGTCGACTAAAGGACAATCATTGAAGGAGGAGTGGATTGCGTATATTTGTAGAGAAATTTTACGTGGACTTTCCTATTTACATTCAAATAAAGTAATTCATCGCGATATTAAAGGACAAAATGTGCTACTAACTGATAATGCAGAAGTGAAATTGGGTAAGATTGGTTAAGACAATACCCACATGAAGTTAGCAGTAGATTCCAGAAATAAGATTTTTTTTTAATTGAAACATTTCAACATCTAGGAAGCTAATTAACATAAATAAAAAATTGTCAAGGGCGGGGTGCAACCCCTTCTCCTTTTCAAATTCACTATATTTTTTAAAAACTGGCTCTTCAGACCATTTTTACAATGACTTTTAAACTTTGAAAGTATAGAAATACAGGTTTTAGACATTTTTTGGGGAGAAAATGTTCAGGAATCTTAGAATCCTTTTCAAAGGACAGATTATCCATAGGGTGCAATAGGACTAAAAGGTTTAAATGGACTGCATGAAAAATTCTAAATATACCTCATGTTGTATAATCATTAGACACCGAAAATAAGGGTGACTGTATAAAAATAGTCTATTCCAAAAAAATTCAGTTTTTGAAATATTGACTATTTAATTTTTTCCTATTTTAGAAAGTCTTCTGTTTTAAGAATAATTGTTAGTTGGCCTTGACTGAGTCTTGATGGAAAAAAAAAGAAATAATGACGAGTCATGGCCAACTAACAAAAATTATTTAATGCATTTTTACAATAAAAAAAATATTAAACAGTCAATATTTCAAAAACAGAAATTTTTTGGAATAGACTATTTCTATACACTTATAAAAATAGGAACTTTCTATTTAAAAAAAAACTTGGCTTTAACGGGTTTTTTAAAATCAATTTTTATTGTTAGTTTTTTATTCCCAGTATTTAAACATAATCAAAATAATAAGACAGTCAACTAAAAAGAAACCTCTTCTGAATGGAAATTTTTGTACAGTATGTCCTACTGTCATGTTTGCAGGCTAGCACCAAATTTATGGTTTTTTGAGTGAGACACCCTGTATATTATTTTTTATATCGATTCAGCATAATTTGAGCTTTCAAGCAATTTCAAAATACATTTGTTTTGCGAAAAGCTTTCTTTGAAATTCTCTCAGAAATTCATTTAAAAATCTTCCTAAGGAGATGATGGAATTTGACTAGAAACCTTTCAACAGGCATTTCTTAGAAAGTCTGTTTATCACTGGAATTTATTCCTAAGTGGATGCGTCGTATCTTTACTAGCAATTGCATTTTCAGTGGACTTTGGCGTATCTGCTCAATTGGATCGCACAATAGGCAGACGAAATACTTTCATAGGCACTCCTTATTGGATGGCGCCCGAAGTAATTGCCTGCGACGAGAATCCAGACGCTACCTATGACAATAGAAGTGACCTGTGGTCGTTGGGCATTACAGCCCTCGAAATGGCGGAATCTCAACCGCCTCTGTGCGAGCTACATCCCATGAGGGCGCTGTTTCTTATCCCTCGAAATCCGCCTCCTAGATTGAAGAGTAAAAAGTGGAACAAGAAATTTCATAGTTTTATCGAAACAGTATTAGTTAAAGACTATCACGAACGTCCGTACACGGAACAATTACTCAAGCATCCATTCATAAGGGACCAACCGACCGAACGACAGGTTCGTATTCAACTCAAAGATCACATCGATAGGTGTAAGAAGCGTAAACAAGAAAAGGAACGCGAAGATTATAGGTTTGTTACGCTTTTTAACTTTTATCACACGTAATTATTCGTGCCTCTAGGTACTCGGGTTCTGAAAATGAGGAGGAGGAGCCGGCACTCGCTGGCGAACCCAGTAGTATTATCCAAGCTCCTGGGGGTGATACACTTAGACGAAATTTCCAACAGATTCAAGAAGGACGGACGCTAAATCAAAATATGGAGCCTCCTCCAAGGTAGGGTCATTTCTTTTGCTAGTCCCTAACCGTGCTGAAGCCTCAAATTTACCTTATCCGTAACTGCAAAACTTCCATGTACAAATTTTTTTCTGAAGCTCGAAGGGGAAGGAAGACATTTTGGAAATTTTATTTCTTTAAGTTAAATCTTCCTCATTTACCATTGCGAGATCTAAGGTATACTCCTTTCAAGAGCGTTCCCCACGAATTTTTTTGGAAAAAATGTTTTGACTTTACTGCTACAAATAAAGCAGTCTTGATTTTTCTAAGAAGAGCACTATGTTCCTCTTGAGGTTAAAAAACTGGTAGTATAGTAACACCACTTTGAACTTGAGTTCTGTGCATGCGCCAACTTGAAGGTTGAACTACTGCGCATGCACCAAATCACTGGCAAGGTCATCGTGGTTGTTGTCAAAACTAACTAGGGTTCTTGCCTGAACTAAGTCACTGAAGGTGATCAACCAATAGGAAAACAGGATTTCCTCTTTATTTGGCATTGCTTTACTGACCATGTGCATCCCTCGAAATCGATAATCAATTTCTCCTGGGAGCATGCCCATTTATAAATAAAAAGAGCCTCCACTCAATGATGAGCTAGACACAGAATGGCTTGATAATGATATCTCGGTCTTTTCAATTAAATTGCTTTAGGTCAGGAAATAATCAGTGGGTTTTTAGTTTAGACAACAACCATGATGACCTTCAGTGACATTAGTTCAGGCAAGAACCCTCCCAATGCGACCGCACCCGTAACGATTACAGATTCTGAAAATACCAAACCTCCAGGTCGGAAAATGCGGTTTTTACACCTTGACACCGTGTCAACTCGCCGATTAGCGGCAAAAAAACCGTTGCAATTTAGCGTACATAAATTATTTGCCGTGTTTGTGATTGTAGAGGTGGAAAGAAAGATAAAGATAGAGAAGAAATCCCCGAACCCGGACCTCCAGCTCGACCTCCGATACCTCAGAGAATTATTGTAGTTCCCGATCCACCACCGGCCGCTCCGAGAAGGTGAACCGATTTTTCAGTGGATTACGAACGTAATTGTTTCTTGTATTTTTAGACCTCTACCTCCACCTCCCGATAATGCTGTCCCGCGTTCGCAACAGCCTCAGAGGAATTCACAGTCGCAGCACATGTTCAAACCCATGGTGTGTATAAGTACTCTCGGTTTCGTTTGTTTTTAAATTTCCAACCCGAAAATAATAGTGCTAGTTTGTTTATTACTTTTGTTTTTGGTAGCGTTAGTGGTAGTGTTTTCGCGCTTCTTTTGTTGGTAGAATTGCTTGTGTTCTAATTTTAGCTATTCTATTTATTTCATGTCCATGTCTCATCTTTTACTTCAGCTGCCTCCTCGTAACCCAGAGGTATGTAATGCGTGTACGTTGTGATTGCATTTATAAATTCAACCTGCCTCCCCTATCAGTCTAGTAAACTTTTCTGTAATAGGAATTGGAAGTGTTGGCCGCGCATCTGAACGAACTCGCCGTACAACCGGAGGCGCCACCAAGAAACAATCGAACCAAACCTCAGTCGAACAACATTTCAACACCGGCATCTATCACCAACACCCCGAACTCCGCGAATCACACGCCGGGATCCGCAAACAACCAGTTCAGCGGTCAAGCATCTAGTAATATTCTAGATCCTCTGATCGACAGCGAGAGCGATTCGGAACCCGAAGATAACGGTCGCGGACGAAACGACGGTACATTATTAGCTAGCGATCCGCCGAAACCGCTGTAAGTATGCACGTAACGGTCGTCCGCCAGTCTCGCTAACCGCGCTTCAATTTTTCTTTTTCGTTTGTTTCGTTTTGATTTTGTTAGTCCCGAATTCGCTTACAGACCCGGTTTAGGCGTGGTAGCCGAGGCCACACCTAGCGGTTCTAGTCCGACGGCTACGGGTTCGGGAGGTGCTCCCAATCGACCGCTACCTCCCACCCCTGATGACGATTCGCAAGGTGACAAAACTTTGGTGCTCAGAAGGGTAAGTGAATTTTTGAGAACACTGCCAAGTAAACGAAACTGAAACAAGAACGCCAAGAAACGGCGCAATGAAGCTTTAATAAAATGTACGTGTAAAGAGTATAAATATTTTTATTTATATTGTTTATTATTTATTAGGAAAACTGTAAATTTTTGGACTAGTGGATGTCTAAAGAAATATTATCTACTCTATGGTTGTTTTCAAGAAATGTGTGCTAATACAAGATTTATTTACGTCCGTGAAGTTGGAGTACCGATATAATAATAATAATAATAATTTTTTTTTTAACACTTCACCAGACACCGACACTAATCGTTACTTGATTTTAATCCGTGCGATTAGTTAACCAGGCTAGACCTGAGTTCTCACAAGAAACACCGACCATAATAATAATAATAATAATAATGTTCATTTGTTTAAGTAAATACTTTTACAAATTGTGGTTTCTTAACACAAAATTACAAACGCAAATAAAACAATTTAGTATAATATTGACTGCAGCAAAGATAAACAAATGATTATTTAGGTAATTCTAACTTCACAGAAAAAAAAATATCGATTATTCAATTTTTGAAGTTATAATTTTATGCTGACTAAGAACATTTTAGGGCATTTAGACGTTTCAAGAGAGTAAATAGTAAGAATGCTTGCAAAAATTAACACTTGAATAATGAACAAGATTCATTAAGACATTCAGAATAGAATAGGATTTGTGTTTTCGGTTTAGTTGTGCTCTGATAATGACAGTTTTCCTGTTGAAACGTACGTTTTATTACAGTTTTATTGTAGCTTTTTGGTGTTTTCGTTTTTTGGTAATGGGGATCATTGTGTTTAATCGAACTAGTGTTTATACGCACAGACAGTTTGTTGTTCTCTTTGTATTGCGATTGTTAAAGCATGGTTCACTGCACTAACCCAACCGAACGCAGGGACTTTAAGAATCATAACATAAGCACATCAGTTTCATGTATGTTTCAACCGTTTGTCAGAAAATTGACATGTCCGAAGGGGAGAAAATTAATCTAACCTAACATTTTGATTCTTTCTTTTATAAATTAGAGTTTTTCAAGTAATCGTTAAGTTGTAACTAACATTTTTGTCATTATATAAAAATGGCAGCAATCTGCAGCCAGTGTAGCAGAATCGGCGAGTATAAACCAAAATGAAATTGACGAAGCGACTTTATTAAAGGATTGGGATTTTGCGAGATTTTTTCCGACTAAATTTCCCGCAGAGAACGACGGAAAATCGGAGAGGTCCGACGTTAAGGGATCTCATCGTCGCATCGATAGCGATTCGAAAATTAACCCGTTCTTTCGAGGCTTTCGTAGGGAGAATTCGGATTTTTTCCCCATGAGCTCGCGGCACTCGGCGATATTCGTCGATAGAAGTGCGAAGGCGAGATCGAGCGGAATATTTAATAACAGGCGCGGATCGGATGTCGGGATCGGTAAAAAAAGTTCGGGCGAACCCGTTCTGACCGATTTCATTAAGAGAAACGTGGATTCGTCTACCAGTAAGAAGGTGTTGTCCAGTGACAATCTGACCAATTTGGATATTAAGCCGAGGCGCGAGAAAACCGAGTCCGATATCGTGCTAAGGCATTCGGATGCCAGACAAGGACTGAGGGACAATTTAGAAGCGCACCGTAAAAACATTGAGTCGCAGTTTTTAAAAGAGGCCGATAATATTAGGAGACGTAACTCAAGGCCGATCGAAGTTAATTTGGTTGGTATGTCGAAGACGGCTAGTTCTACAGATGGGGAACAATATTTGTATATAAAGCAGGTAATTTGGTTTTTGTTTTTACTTTGGGGCTTATAATGAAATTTTGTTTTTAAAAATTGCGTTTGTTAGGACTTGTTATTGACATACGTTGTGGTAAGCTTAAGTGCATGGTCACAGGATTGTGTAATAACTACGTGTTTGTGAATATTAAAGTGTTCTCTTGTCTAACAGTAAAATTTGTGTGTCGCTTTAACCAAAGATGATACTACACTAGATAAACGAGGCTTATTTTTCATAAGAATAAATCAGCTCTGCCTGCAGAGCATATGGTTACAGAGTTGAGACAGCATTCTAATGCTATTGTCCTTGAAAAGGACACCTTCTGTCAATTCCTGTTTACACTACAGGGTGTTTTTTTGGGAGCTTTAGTTAAACGTTTCTGGGAAAGTAAAATACGTAGGTTTTTGAAAATTTGTACTTGGTAGTTACGCTGAAGGCCGAATCGATGTAAAATATTTTCAAAATGGCTACACTTCCGGAAACACCGGAAGTAGATAGTAATTTCGTTATTTTAAATGGCAACCCCTATTTTTTATTGCATTTCTTATTAATTTTTTTCTGCATATAAGCAAGCCCCACTTAGATAAATTCTTTTTTTTTTACGAAACACCTTTGAGCAATAATGTTAATCCGAGATTTTGATAATGAGAAAGTTGGATTTAGTGATACAAGGAAATTTCAGTCATATTTTTCATAATGGGACCACCACTATTTTATTTCGCTATTCGTCAATTTTGATATGAGGTGTCCTGTGTCTAAACCTTGTAGTTTTTAGTTCATTAATATTTTTCACAAAAATACCTACCAATTAATTAATTAATTAGGTACATGTTGATGCATCGAAGTAGGCCGTGAAAATAAAAAAAAATAAAAGAATGACAGAAAGTAAACAAGTGTCAATTTGGCAATTTAATAAATGTAGGTAGTATTGAAAAAATTTTGTTTGCAAGTTGTCTAACAATGTTGGCTCACTAGCATAAATTTTAGTTTTTAAATGGCCCCATAAGAAAAATCTAACGCACTTAAATCCGGGGAACGAGAGGGCCATTCAAAATAGCATCTTTTCTTCCAATCCATTGTCCTGGAAACGTTTGGTCCAAATATTGACGAACCCTTGCAGCATAGTGGGGTGGCGCACCATCTTGCTGAAATACTAGACTATTTCCAAGTACTCGTTGTTATTTTCTAGTATCTCCACTAATTCTTTTGTAATAACTCCAGGTACATCTCTCCTGTTAAAATTCCAGGTAAAAAGAAGGGGCCTACGATATGGTTACCAAAATGGCAGCTCAAACATACGATGGAGCTGTCGATTCTGGTGTTGTCGATTAAAGAGCTGGGCAGTTCTATTAGCATTTTCATTGTTTGCAAAAAAAGAGACATTATTTCAGTGAATAAACCATTATCACTGTTCAATGTACCGATTTTGCAATTAAAGCGCTATTTGTCACTACTATGATCTGACAACAGTAATTGACAATCACTATTAAACTTCAAAATGCTGCTATAGTAATGCTCTCAACAATAACCAAGATTTGCGTTGCAGAAAAGGCATATGTACTTAACGAGTATTAAAAAGGAAAAAAAAACAACAAAAAGTACGGTTCAGAATGTAGGAGAACAACATTTTTTGTATTTACTGTTGTTTTTATTTTTGTTATTTAACTAATTCATTTACAAGAATTTTTTTTCATAAGAAAATGTTGACATTTTTATAACTTTTATTAGCCACTGTATCGACTAGGCAAATTAGTAGCGATATAAAACTTAAGGGTTATAATCCACATAGAAATACCTTCAAAATCAGGTATCACTCGACCACCCATTGGATTTAAAATTTTGGGGGCGCTTGTCACCCCCGTTAGGGCTTTGCCCTCAGGGGGCGAAACTAGCGAAAAAATGGTTCCCCCTTGAATAAAAAATTGACGGGTCCGAGTATTTTTTCGTAGATGTTTTGAGTTCCCCAAAATAGGTTCTGTTTCGTTTTCAAATGGCCACCCTGTATATGATCGATATGAGCTAGGAAAGACCGACGCACTATTGCGGGACCCGGTATATAGACCTTGTAGATGTACCTACCCAGTATCTGCAAGATAAGTAGGAAACACGAACACAGTTAACTGTGGTTAAGCTGTGGTGACGGCGCAAATGAACAGACAACTAGAAGAGAAGACAATGACGCGCTCAAATCACAATCAAGATTCTGGGCTTCTAACACCCCCCCCCCTGTAAATACTGCACTGAGGGGGGTTCAAGTGGGATTTTGGACAGCTTTTCAATTGATACCTTTTATAATGATTAAGGTTTTTTTGTTCTATTTTAAATTAAAAGAATTTTGATATTTCAGGTGGGAAAAATTCGATCGAGATTCCTTTCTGTGGAGTTCACATCAGAGCTCCTCTAGCCTATTGAAAGTTTCGCTAATATTTTTTTGTACAATGTCTTAACCGGTAGTAACGCCCTAAGACAACATGTCTCTTTATTGGTTCATGTATTTCCTGAAAAGTGCAGCGGAATAGAAATGTTGGTAATAGATCCACAACATCTGGCAATAAAAATGAATGCGCCATCTAGTGTAGTACGACCTTTGCTTTAACTAACAATCTGTGTCTTTAACTTGTAACACATAGTTCACTGCCAGAACATCTACATCAATCCGTCACTCGGCAGCATGCTGGAATTGCATTGGGCATGAAGACATTCACTTTAAACTGGCTGTGTTGCTGTCATTTTTAATCAGAAACTCGTTACTTACTAATTACATTCGTGGTATTTTTTAATTGCACTGTAAGAATGATATATTCAAAACGTTAGGTTAAATTAAAGATAATAATACTTTAGATTTTGATCGTAGATTAAGGTTATACTCCGTTGTAGAGTAGATTATAGGCCCATAGACTTATCAGAAGTGTATATTTATTGCTTATAATGGATCACCTGTATTGTAACACATTTGTTTATTGTGTGCGCCTTTTTTGTAATGTAAATTGTCCCCAACGCATCTGTACAGTGTCGTCCTAGATCAGGATCCATTTATAATCAATGAAGCTTAACGCAATCGTTCTTTTTTTTTGTAATCGATGACTGTATATTTTGTAGAACGGAAGGAGTAGTGAACATGCTCGTCAAAGTAGCGTATTACCAGATCTTCTAAGTCAAGCTAGTGGTAGTCCTGGGACCTCGTCGGCCCGTGATAAATCTCAAAGTGAAGAGGTACGTTACGCAGTGTTTATTTAATTTTATTATTATTACGCGTGCTGGTGTGATTGTGTATGATGCCAAGGATTATTGTGTGTAACATACAAATGATTTGGTACCAGTAATTGACTCAATAAATTTATGCCGGCTACTACGTCATGTAGGTATGTACTGTGGATTTTTGAAATGTCATCCGTTCTAACATTAACATTTGTTGAACTTTTTCAGTCGACAGTTAACAATTTTGCAAATTATTTTTGTATTTACACAAAAACAGAGGCCATCTAAATTGGCAAACAGTACCTTGAATGAAAACGACAGTTAAGGCAACTTAAATATAATTAAACAAATAAATTATTATTAATGTTGGTCACTAATGTTTGTGTCTTTCTCTTTGGTTTTTGCCTAACTGAGTGACGTCCGTAACATCAGTTAACGTTAACTGTAAGTATGACTCCGTTTGCACGTTGTTATGTTAGTATTACAGCTTAAGTCGGTGGTTTCTTGTGCATGACTTCGAACAGGTTCCGCTTTATTTTTTATTTATTAATCCATAATTTGGTTGGGGAAGAACTAATGGGAAAGACTAACTTTTTTTTTAGTTTCTTGTATACACTAACGTTTATTATTTGGAAGTTTCGACGAGTTATATTCGATTGCACCTTTACCGTAAGTTTGCTCTTTGGAAACATTGTTTTCGTTTATGTGCATCTTGGTTTTGTATTTTTTTCGTTGGCGTTTTCCTATCGGCATGCTGTCGATTCAGCACCCAAATACGCAGCATTATTCATATTGTGTTCGTACTTAACCGCATTCATCATCTCATGCATTTCACAGTAAACATTCCGCTACACTTCATTTTGGATGAGTATGAAGCATGTTTGCAATGAGATCGTTCGGTTTTACTGAAACTAGTATCATGAGGGGTTACGAAATAGTTTAATTTTTAATTGGGCACAGTAAAGCACAAGAGTGCAGAGCCGTCCTTAGGGTAGAGCGAGTGGAGCGGCGTTACTTTCGCTAAAAAATAAATATGTTTTGATTCAATGAAAATAATATAATAATATTTTAATATATAAATATACCGGGTGCCCATTATGTATGGAATATACAGGGTTGGGCAAAATACATTCACTTGTGTATTTGAAATACAAAATACTTTTCGAATGTATTTGAAATACAAAATACAATTGTATTTGAAATACATTAAAAAACACTTAATCTTAAATATTTTATTATACCTATCATTTACATCTTACGTATACTGGTATACACATATTACTATATTATTATTACATATTACCCTTGAGATAAACTAACTTTTCAAACAATGTGTCTGATAAATTGCCTCTTGTAGGCGAATGAATGTATCCCGCAAAAGAAAACAATCTTTCAACTGGGGCCGATGAACACAAACTTGTATTAAATTTTATAAACGCATGTTTAATTACTGAATAATTATTTAAACTTACTATTAGTTTATTTTTGTCATTTAAAAATGTCACAAATTCTAGTTCTACTTGTGATTGTTGTTTATTATTAGATTTTGGTGACGAAAATATATAAAAATCTTCATCTTCGCCACCACTGGCACTTTGTTCAGAGGACGAGAACGCTAACTGTTGTTCATGAAATTGCTCTAACGATTTAACACACAAGTCCTGTAAACGTTTTCGTTCATATTCTACACGTTCTGGTAACCACTTCAACTTGAATCCAGGGTGCAAGCATGTAGCTATAATTGCTTCATTTACTTCCGGGGATAGCTCAAAGAAATTTGAAAATCGTTTCTCTATTGATGCGGTAAAATCAGATCTAGTGTAAAACGCTCTATCGGCGATAGTTATGGAAGATTTACTTTTTTGTGTATTTAAAATACAAAATACATTTACATCGTGTAATTAAAATACAGTATTGAAAATACATATGTATTTTAAATACTGTATTTCAATTACAAATATTTCAAATACTGCCCAACCCTGGGAATATAGTATATATTTCGGTAAAGATCGAATGTATACAACCATTTTTTATATGAAAGTTGTTTAACATTTTATTTCCCATAATAAAGCAGCATTCCATTGCTTTTATTTCAGAAAACAAACGAATAACGAAAATAATTGAATTTTTTTAAATAGCAACGCACATTTTCATTAGGCTCATTTGATAGAGATTTTTTTTCTCTTTACAATGACATAACACGTTAGCACCCGTGTAGTAGAAATTAATTTTTATTTCAAGTTTTTAGCGTATTTTTGAAAAAATAACCTATTATATTCGTTATGGCTGGCTGGCTGGCTGTCCGGCTGAGATCTTAGCAACTACAATAGCTAGAGACTCAAATTTTCACTAAAAGCTTTCTGCTATAGTGTAGATGTGCAGGCTCTAGTCTATTTTGAGTTAGATTACTTGTGAGATCGATAATTTAAGAAAATAATTTCGATATGGTTTTTGGAGGTGCTATAATTTTACCGTTAGATACTTTGTGATTTGTTTTACAAAATTAAGACGTACCCTCAATTGAAATTAAATAAAATGAATTATTTAACACAGCCAAAATTACTCGTGAGATCGATAATTTTAAACTTCGCTAATAAAATACTGATCTGTATGATGTAAATGATGAACATTTTGAACATTCATTGCGATGAAAACCATTTTACTGCTAATTTCGTTTTGTCTTTAAGGTTTAATAAGAAACGTACACGTTCATTTGTTTTATTTTTATGTAGGATATTTGGATTAATGTTATTCATCTAATTATGATCCATTTTTTAAAAAAATTTTCTTGAATAAGGGTACTAACATGTTATATCATCGAAAAGGGAAAAAAATCTATCAAATGATCCTAATGAAAAGGTGCATAGCCATTAAAAAAATTCAATTGTTTTTCGTTACTTACTCATTTGTTTTCTGAAATAAAAACAACTGAATGCTGGCATTTAATAATTTTATATATATTCGATACTACATTCCATACATAATGGGCACCCTGTATAATATAGAATATAAAATATCTCTCTGATTACCCGCGCAATATGTTCAACTATTGATTAATTAAAAAACCTACGAACGAAATTCTCATTCGTACTTGATAGTCATTAGTCGCGAACAAAAACTCGCGCTCGCCAGTGAGTAAGTCATTCTTGCATGATCTTCTCCTCTCCCTTCGCCGCGTGACAGTCATTCAAAGTGCTGAAAATGACGACTTTGCATGTATAATTTTGCAAAAATCTCACTCCTCCCGGGGGTATTCCATAACCCCCCCCCCCCGTCGGAAATCATTGTTAAAAAAGACCCCGCAAAAATATTTCGCTCCAGGCCTCGCATTTGCTAAGGACGACTTTGCAAGAGTGGTTTAAGTACTGAGAAATGCAAAATAAAATATGGCGAACACACAAATGCAGACACCTTTTTGAGATCAATTTTATTTATTTTTTTGCATTACGACGCTTGAATTTTAAATAGTATGTTAGCGCGCTTCCTTTCCGAATTTTAGGGCTATGGACACATGCGTAGAATTTTTCTATTTTGAGCAGCGATTTTCTCGTAATTAACTGAGCTTGAGACGTTTAAACCTTGTGGTTTTTAGGGTCTCCTAAGTTGAAGAAGTTCATAAAACTTCTCTCTTATTCTCAAGATCTCCACGTCTAACAAGGGGGTAGAATCTGCTGTAGTATTGGTGTATTTTTTTGAGAAACCAAACTGGCTTTTGTTTTGTGTTATGGGTAAAAGTTGCATTTTTCGATTATTTTTATAAATTTATAAACTTCTTTGTTTATTAGGATATGGGAAACGTCTTTATTACAACAGTTTCTTTGTAATGATTGTCGCATAATCTACCGTTTTCAAAAAAATGTTTGAACCTAATTTTTAAAAAAAAGTTTGTGAATTTTTTTAAAACTTTTTTGATTCATTTGAACCTTTTTTTAAATTTTAACTTAATAAGCATAACTAAAAAAAATTCGTTAAGCGAGCAAGAGGCGAAAAGTGCACTTTCAAATTTGGTTTTTCGATTTTTAAAGCCCTTATCGACATTTCATGTCTTAACGAGCACACAAACATGAAATAATTTTTATCCAACACCTCTATGTTATCCAGTCATTATCATGACGAAATTAAACGAGTAAGGTATAATATAACCCACTAATGAGTTATGGACGTAAAATAACTCACTAGCAAGATAAAGTACAGGAACCATAAGTAAATCCATATAAATTTTCTGACTAAATTTTTTTTTGTTTATTATTCCCCATAGCAACGAATTATTGCTTTTGTATTCCATGCACTCTAGCTTTTCGCGGAACACGCAGTTTTTAAGATTTCCACGTTTTAAACCAGCTTGAGGAGGTGTTGGATAAAGTTTTGTATGGTGCACGTGTGTTAATTACAAATAAGTCACTTGAGAAAATAACCCCACTCGGCCTGACGGCCTCGTGGGCTTACTTTTTTCTCGCGTGACTTATTTGTAATATAACACACTTATACTATAAATAACTATTAATTTCTAATCGAATGACACCAATACCAGGTCTGGTCTGTAAGTAGTGTATTTCCAGAGCCCTTGTGACTCAGGCAGACAGACAGACATAAGGAGCGTAAAAGTGAAAGTGCACTAAACACTTTTGGTCATAATTCAAAAACAAAAGACAAGCTAACAAAAGTCTCTAGACTGGAACTGTTTTTGAGTTATGAGCAAAAGTTGCATTTTTTGATTTTTAGATAATAATCGGTGTGGCTCAGTGGCGTAGAAACGCGGCTGCGGTACCAATGGTCCTTGGTTTAAATCCGGGTTCGGTAATGGAATAAATAATAAATGTTTTGTTAAAAAAATCTACTTGGGAAATAACATTTCTGAGCCACGGTCTGTTTGGAAAATTGTGTAATGGAAGAACCTCTCCATGAATTATTTTATGAGATGCTGTTGTGGCAAGTGCACAACTTTTAGATGCGGAATTCTTCAAGAATTGTTTAGGAATTTTTCTGGATGGGTTTACCTAATTTTCGCAATCGATTTCTGAAAACCAGTACTGCACCAGTAAAATCAGTACCTGGTGTCATGTTCGATCACCCATATTATACAATATACAGGGTGATCAGAAGTGGTGGTTAGTGTTATCTATACAGTGTGTCCCAAATCGGGTGGGATTGCATGGGTAACTTTGTTATTATTAAAGATAGAGAATTGGTTAAATGGGCAATGTTTTGCAGGTTTGGATGCTTATTTAAAATTCCCTTATGGAAATTCAAAATGTCGCATAGGTTCGACGTAAATTCAAAAAAACTAAAATTGGTCATTTCCTTGAATGTCTTATATCATCGAAAGTATTAGAGATATAAAAAAAAGTTTTATATAAAAGTGGCTGTCTCTGATACGCTTAATTTAGAATTGATGTCAAAAAAAAGTTCAAGATGGCTACTTTTGAGGAACATTTACCAACTTCCTAAAGTTAAATAGGTGCCATATGGGATTTTTAGATTACTTGATAGATTTTTTAATTCTCTTTTCAACGAGCCATCATAACATAAGATTGAAAATAAGATACCAGTTATATCAACGGTTTTTATATTTTAATTAAGTAGGCTGTGATGAATTAAAAAAAACAAAACAAAATCTCCCTCCAAAACTTTATATAAGCATTAGGTCTAGAAAAATTTGATTTTTATAACATCACATTGACTTATTATCCATACTTACATACCTACAAATGGTGGTATAACTACAAACTATCCCCTTGAAAAAAGTTACCCATGCAATCCCACCCGATCTGGGACACACTGTATAGTTGAATCAGGATATCTGCATCCTTTCGGTTAGATGAAAAATTTTCACCAACTTTCAAATCGAATTTTCTTTGTGTCGTAGTTTTTGAGGGTTTCGAGTGCAAGGCTAATATTTCATTTTTCGTTTTTCAGTACTTTTGGATCTCAATTTTTAAGTAAAAAAAAATGCGTTTGGTTATTGACTGTAAGAATAAAGCGTAGTCAAATTACTAATACTTTAACAGAAACTGCAAAGGTATCTTGAGTTGATATGTCGTTTTGGTACTCTCAAGTAAAATCGTTGATACTAATTTTCAGTAGATATTAACGTACACTGCGCATTTTATATAGCAATTACATAGGCCGTTTTGTTTTTCAGTATCGTCAAGCGATATCGTCTAACGCTACCCCCTCGCCAAATAAATCGGGCCAACATCTTAATATACATGCTCTTGCTTTACAACAGAAACAGCGTTCATTTCTTACGTTCGGATTCGGTGCCGGTTCCGGGCAGTCACGTCGAGAGTCTCACGTTAACGTTAACGTAACGCCGACGTCTCACGACGTATCGTCGGATACGCCCGAAATCAGGAAGTATAAGAAGCGTTTCAATAGCGAAATTTTGTGCGCGGCGCTTTGGGGTTTGTTTCGTGCCGATTTTGAAAGGTGCGGTACTGAGATGGGTTGTTTCAGGGGTTAATTTGCTGATCGGAACCGAGCACGGTTTGATGCTGCTGGATAGGAGCGGACAAGGGAAGGTCTACCAGTTGATCTCACGAAGACGGTTTCAACAGATGGAAGTTTTGGAGGGTCAAAACATTTTAGTGACAATTTCTGGCAAAAAGAATCGCGTGCGAGTCTACTATCTTAGTTGGCTGAAGAGCAAAATTCTTCGAACTGATGGTCTGAGTGATGTATGTGACATTCTCCTGATAAAATGGCTTCTTTAACGGTTACATTGTAGCAAGTAGAGCGTAGAAATGGTTGGATAAACGTCGGAGATCTACAGGGGGCAGTGCATTTTAAAATTGTAAAATATGAAAGAATAAAGTTCCTCGTTATAGCCTTAAAAGATAGTATCGAGATATATGCGTGGGCTCCGAAACCTTACCATAAGTTTATGGCATTTAAATCGTTTGCGGAATTAACGCATCGACCGTTATTGGTCGATTTAACTGTGGAGGAGGGAACACGACTTAAGGTGATATATGGAAGTGCCGATGGATTTCATGCGGTCGACCTAGATTCTGCCAGCGTTTACGATATTTACTTGCCCAAACATGTGAGTATTTTAAACTTCATAAAAAAATTGCTAATAAATTCGTCTCTTTCAGACTCAAGGAGCGATTACTCCGCATTGCATCGTTACTTTACCTAATAGCAATGGGATGCAATTGTTACTCTGTTACGATAACGAAGGCGTTTATGTTAATACTTATGGCAGAGTTTCCAAAAATGTGATACTTCAGGTAAGTGGCTTATTTACCAAATAGCAACTGCACATTACGCTTAGTCAAGATTTAAAATCAAAACACTCCCTCTCAAACTACCTGAACCCTATGCCCCATGATCGTCTACAAGATATGTGTTGCTTGTCGTAAGGATCAGGTAAGGAATACAAGTGAAACAAGTACTTGCTTTAAAAACGGAAATTTAAACGAAATAAATTACATTGCAAGAATAAATTTGGAAAATGGTAGTTCACCGAGTACAAATAAAAATAGGTTGGGAAAAAAGAACTGACCAACAAAAAACTTACCAAAAGGTTGACACAAAACCAGTAATCAGTAATTATATATTAAGGGTCGACTAAAAGAATCGATTAGCAATATCAGGAAGATGACTCTTTTCTAAGACGGACGAAAACAAGTACTAGGTGGGCCAAAAGAAATTACCCTATTGGAAGATGCTCTTATTTTTGCAAATGGCGGCCAATGTCAAATCTGTTTTGACATTTGTGAACTAGACAGGTTTAGAATACAAGTGAACAAGCCATGGAGCGGAAAAATCGTGTCTATTTTTTTGCGTAACAATTCGTCTGTGGTGTTCGAATTCCGTACAGTAGTCCGCAAGATCGCCCGATTTAACCGTTCCAGACTTTTTTTGTGGGGTTTTTTTAAGTTCCGTGTTTACATGAACAAGCCCGAGACCCTGGAAGCCCTCAAGGACAACATTCGACACGAGTGCGAGAATCTGTCGCCCGAAGTTCTCGCCGAAGTGATGAAAAATGCCATAAAACGAGCCTTATAGCAATTAATTGTGACGGCGCCCATTTGACCGATATCGTCTTCTCGACTTGACCAATAAAATTCTAAAGGTTCAAATAAACAATCAAAACCGAGATCAAAACACAGAATCGAAGTTTTTCATTTAGAAAAAAAATGAGAGCCTAACAACATCGGATGATTCTTTTGGCCCACCTTGTACATGTAAATATATCTCTGCGTATGTCAGGTGGGACTTTGCCACTTTTATTAAATAAAAAATATGTGGAACTAATGATAATTTCCAGATAACCAAGAAATTGTCGTTTTAAACAATCCTGCCATCTTTTGTTTTCCATAGAATCCTAGATGTCCGCAATAAAAATATTTTAATGTATAAAATGCAAGTGTGATAAAATCACGCTACTTTAATAATAATAATGCCATTTATTAATCACGTACAGTTATTTTTACAATAAAACATTGTTTACTATACATATACTATGTACGCAACTAAAAGGGCGAAGTTCAGATGCTAGTGACGAAATTCGCCCACAAGCCCTGCTCTAGCACTTAACCCTTACTGTAATTTTACATCTTATAACTATAAATGAACGTGAAATGACTGAAAAATTATAATTAAAACCATTTATCTTGTACGAGTGCAAAAAAAAACAAAAAAAACAAAAATACGTCTAACATCGGTACTGTCAAGGCATGCACCATACACCGAATCGCAGTAGTTAAAATGAGACAGCACTATTGAGTCACATAATATACTTTTTACTTTTTTATTGAGTATGTGTCTGTTATTATATATCAATTTTAGGTTGGTAAACGTGTTAGATATAATAGAGGCGTTTAAATCGTAATCCGGAATCAATATATAAACCCAGACTTTTAACACAATCTACGTTTGACAATTGATTGTCTTTGACTTTCACACAAATCTCATGTTTTGCAATATTTCGGGCATTTATCTTGCCAAATAAAATCGTAGAAGATTTTACAGGATTGATTTGCAGCCCGTGTTCTTCAGATAAATTCACAAGAGTTTGGATGTCCTCATTTATATATTTATTGGCAAGTTTTGTTTCATAGTCAAAGAAATCAAATTGTATTTGTGTGTCATCAGCATATTGATGAAATTTAGTGTATTTCAGTGATTTACCAAAGTTAAAAGTGTAAATAATAAATAACAGCGGTCCAAGTACGGAACCCTGGGGTACCCCTGAAAGAAGATTAGCTGGCGCCGATTCCTGATCATTTAAAACCACTTGTTGGGTTCTTTGATGTAAAAATTGTTTTATTAATAAACGAGCATTCTCGCTGAACCCGATGTAATGTAAGAGGCTGATTAAAATCTCATGATTGATTGTGTCAAACGCCTTGGAGAAATCGAGTTGAACTAGAGATGATAGTTTTTGATATTCAATTATTAATCTACTAATTTGTTACAGTGGGGCGAAATGCCGACCTCGGTCGCCTACATCGGCACGGGACAGATAATGGGTTGGGGTAATAAAGCTATAGAGATTCGCTCGGTGGAATCGGGACACTTAGACGGCGTTTTTATGCACAAAAAAGCTCAACGACTGAAGTTTTTGTGTGAACGTAACGATAAGGTCTTTTTTTCTAGCGCTAAAAGTGGATCGTCTTGTCAAATATATTTTATGACCTTAAATAAACCAGGAATGGCGAACTGGTAACATGACTATATTCTGTTTAAGAAATAATGAAATTGTTAGATAGGGATTTGTTATATTGGTTATAGTGTCAATATTATTATTATTATTACATGTTTTAAAAATTTGTAACAAGATTACGAGAGCGAAAGGAAAACCTGAATTTAATGGTGCAGAGGAGAGGCATTTATGTATTAGTTACGTATGGGAAATTATCATCGGTACAATATTGTAATTAGGTTAATCTCTCGTTTCAGAAGAAATCAAATAAAGTTCAAAATAGCAATAATAATGGTACAATGAATGTGAACGCTATTTTGATACATTCTCAAAAGCTATATTTAAAATGAAACAAATGAATGGTGGGTGAAAGTTTACTATTCGCGATTGGTGTGCAACATAAAACACATCACTTTTTTACTCTTTAGCACTGTCCAGTTGTGATAGACGCCATTTTTCGAACGTAAACTTTGACCACCGCTATTGATTTTCATAACCTTTAGCAGCATTTATTACTTATATTGTTATCAATAGTTTATGGTGCCAACCAGGGAGATGAGTAGTGAAAATGTGAAAAATGCTCAGTATGTGTAGAGTTGCAAAAAATATTGTATAGTAAAGTAATACTAACACACGACTTTAACACTCGATAGGGTCATTTGTGCGAAAGATGTTTGTGTATATACAATTTTAGTTTTTTTGTACGCAAATGTTTAACAATTACACTATTGCCTATTATTGTGTTTGCGTACAAAAATAATACTGAATATACATTGTCATAGCCTGTACTATTTGTAATCTGTTTTTTCAAAATTTGCACAGGAAGAACAAATTTTATACAAAAAATTGCCACTTGCCATGTATATGTTGTCGGTACTGATTTAATTTTTTGTGGTTTTTGGTGCTTTTATATTAATTCCATATTTTGTATCCAGTGACAGTGCATAATTTATGCTTTATTGTGCGTCATAATTTATTATACAGCGTTTATGCAAGCATGCGATGCCTTTTTTTAAAATAAATTTAGGTTGCTCTGTCTATCTATCTTTCCAAAGAATTGGTAGTGATTTTTTATTATTTTTTTTATGAAGCAACATTTATTACATTAAATATCATTTTATTAATATTATTCAAAATACAAAGTTACTTATACAATATGTTTTACAACCACCTTCTAGTTTCCTATTTGTGCTTCACTTGTCTACAGGCTGTGTTTTGATAATTCCAAACGTTGATACCATTCCAACTTAGGACAAACTGTAAATCTGCTGCTCGTTTTGACAAAGGTAATGTATATGTTCATTAAATCCTCTTTCTCACTTTGTGGACCTAGTTGTAAGTCTTATAGTTTGTTTGTGCCCTCTACTACTGCCTACATTCCTCTTCCCGTGTGCTTTTAATCCATATCATACTCGTCAAAGTAGAAAAATAACAAAGTAAATGGACAGTTTGGACAATTAAAGAACGCATTCCCTTTTATGATTTAGTGTATTTTGTGTCAATTTAAAATTGTGTTTTATTACGATCAGGTTAGTCAGGATAGCCGAGCGCAAAATGTTAGCGATTTTTTGTGAAAAATATGTAAAATTAAAAAAAGAACGTGACCGGTTAACGTCTCATCAATTTTCTAATGAGGAGTGTATCTACATATGACTTTGACCTTAGAGCTATGAACTATGAAAGAAAGCTTCTCTAAGACTTGGCCTATCTCCTTCCTTCTCCAACTTGAGCATTTTTTTGTGTACATACTTTACTCAAATGAGTGGAGCTAGAATAATAAACCGTTATTTAAATATTTCCTAAAGTAAACTGATGATCATTTGATTTTATTAAACAAGTATTTGTGTGTGTAATTTCCTCTATCTTACTAACATGGTCTTTTTCGATGAAGCCATTTTTTTCTCAGACCAATCAAAACAGAAGAAGATGGGTGATCCTCTGTTTTTGCATTTATAATAAAATAAACTCATTTTAGATAAACTGTAACTTATTACTTTTCCGCATCCATATATGGGTAGATAAAGGTTGATTTCGAGTATTACTGGTACAAATTTTATTAATTTTGAAATGCTTCTAGCAGGACTTGCGCTGGCACCGTTGTTCTTGGATAAGAATTCCTTCAATCTTCCGGACGTTCAAGGTAGGTTTACTAACTGGGCTCTTAGACTAGCACTAGAACATATTAGCACAATATGTGATCATTGGTTGCTAGTCTATTAACTTTTGATTGAGAAGTCTGATCGAAAAAGTACGAATTGTTTTGGATTCTACGCACCAAAATTAATAAGAAAAAGGGTTTTCCCGAGAAATTTTGGTGCAGTCGATTTTTGGTAAAAAAGGAAGTTGTACACTGCCTTTTTTTGAGCCACGAAAAAAAAATTGTCTCAGATCGACCCGGAAAAACAATTTTCTTATAGAATGGGGCCTGTAGATTCCATAATTTCAAACAGTTCCAGGATTGGGCTACTAGTTCAAAAGTTAGAGCCCTTTGAATTTTTTTTCGAAATTGGTTTCTAGTCTATAACTTTTGATTGAGAAGTCTGAATAAATGGCAGTTCAAATTGTACGGAGTCTTGCAAGATCTGTAGAGCAATTGTAGTTTAAAGGCCCGGTTTTTGAATAGATAATTTAAATACAAGTACTAGTGCGCCATCTCCTTGGCAATCGATACACTTTCTATCAAATATAGTTTTAGAAGTCTAGTTGAGATGTCGCAACGTACGCACATTCTATTAAAATTATATTTGAATTTATGCGATTAATAGCAACGTTGCACTTATTATTCCTTAAAAGCAGTGCCGTTTTTAAGTTTTTCAGGGCCCTGGGCCATTCGTTCGTGGAGGCCCTCCATACCCTCAATAAAAACGGAAGATTGAAGCAAATCCCTAATTTGAATATGGGCAATCGATATTTGTGTAGCCTGGTTTGTAGGCAACACATCATGCTCAATGAACAGAAAACATTTATTTTTGCAATTCGTAACTTCTTATGCATTAGGAGTTTATTTAAAGCCCTTGGAAGAACAATTTCAATAACAGGTACATTAAACTGAACCGTTTTACAACAACTTTCACACGAAGATCGCACAAACAACACATTTTTTCGTGATTGCAAACTGCCTACTTAACACTTTTGCCTTATTTCGCTGCCAATTTCACTACCGTTTCTATAACCGTAGTTCTATCAAATAAACTCTAGGCTCAATTCTTTAAAGAATAGCTTCGCACCATCGCCAGCAGCTTCAATCATGTAATCGTTCCCATTTTAACCTTGAAAAGTTTGAATTGCATTGGAATGGGCTTTCTGCGAGTTCTCCACTGTGTCCTCCTGTTTTGGTTACAAAGCATTTCCCTTTTCAATTTGTGTTGTCTGAATTCAATGCTAACGTTTCTCATCCTTCGAGAACTACATGTCTTCGATTGCACGACCCAGAGCGAACAGTATCATATTCCGCAAAGGTTGAGTCTGCCGCTTTCCTGTCACTCCCAGTAGCCACTTCCCTAATTTAAACCTGCAAGCGAGAAAGGAATAATAACAAAGTTTAATTTTTGACTATAAAATAAACAAACATTCATTATGCATTTGAGGTTAAAACTTAATATATCTATGGTTTTTAAAATCAGCGCTCTGACATCTAACGTTAGTTTCATAAAGTACATTACAAAATGAGTGTGGCGACATCTTTGAGGTGTAAGTTCCAACTAAAATAATGGTGGTAATAAAGCGTCCTGCATTTAGCGATAAAATGTTAGTCCCCAATAATAAAGACAGATGTCAGCACAATGTATTCGGCTTTGATTAAGGCCGCTTGACATGGAGCAATACAACGTGCAAGAACTTGCAGAAAGAGATTGCAAGGTCAAGTCCTAGCATGCAATGCATTGCATGGTATTTGACATGGTGCAATTTTATTTCAATTGCCACATGTCTGCCAACAGAAGAAAAATATGGACTTGTCAACAAAGTTGCTAACCTCCAATAAAAATTAAATTTTGATTGCTTGAAGAAACATGAAAATTACAAGAATAAATAAAATTAATAAAAACAAATAAATGAGTGCGTCTCTCAGCATCATAGTTGCCGCCGCTGTATCTTACTAGGTTGGTGATACAAAAACAACTAGATTTATCCCTAGAATTGCACGATTCATGCAAGAAAAATAACACCGGTCCTATAAAAATTGCATGCAAGTCTCTTGCAGCAATTGATCAGCTGGCTTTGAACTGCGCATGCCTTTCGCAATTTTTCTTGCAACTTGCATGCAATTGCAATTTTTATTGCTCCATGTCAAGCGGGCTTTATTTTAATATTAACCAAAAACTCAGGCAAGGCTGTAAACATTTTGAGATTTGTGCCTTTCGCTATCAAAGAGTAAACCACGAAACTCGAAAATTAAACATTTCGCTCCTGTATTTATAGCCTATTCCTTTGCGTCATAGCGTTTTTGGAATGCCAAAGGACAGGGCGGGTAAACGGACGGCCGTCCGTATCCTCTTTGGTATACCTATACGTATACCTAGATTTTTGACGATTTTAATAAAGTATCTGTTCGCAATACACGAGACAAGATTTGTAAAAATTAAAACGCCCAAACTAATCTGACCTAACCTAACTACGACTCTAACCTAACCTTCAATCAACTCCTTGAACATTATCATGATACCAGATTTTTGACCTAACCTAACTAGCACGCTAACCTAACCTCACTAAAATTTTATATTAACCTTCGATCTCCTCGCACATTATATTCTCCTGATACCAGATTTCTGAGCTAACCTAACTAGCACGCTAACCTAACCTCACTTAAATTTTATATTAACCTTTCGATCTCCTCGCACATTATATTCTCCTGATACCAGATTTCTGAGCTAACCTAACTAGCACGCTAACCTAACCTCACTTAAATTTTATTTAACCTCTCCTCGCACATTATATTCTCCTGATAACCAGATTTCTGAGCTAACCTAACTAGCACGCTAACCTAACCTCACTTAAATTTTATTTTTAACCTTCGATCTCCTCGCACATTATATTCTCCTGATACCAGATTTCTGAGCTAACCTAACTAGCACGCTAACCTAACCTCACTTAAATTTTATTTAAACCTTCGATCTCCTCGCACATTATATTCTCCTGATACCAGATTTCTGAGCTAACCTAACTAGCACGCTAACCTAACCTCACTTAAATTTTATTTTAACCTTCGATCTCCTCGCACATTATATTCTCCTGATACCAGATTTCTGAGCTAACCTAACTAGCACGCTAACCTAACCTCACTTAAATTTTATTTTAACCTTCGATCTCCTCGCACATTATATTCTCCTGATACCAGATTTCTGAGCTAACCTAACTAGCACGCTAACCTAACCTCACTTAAATTTTATTTTAACCTTCGATCTCCTCGCACATTATATTCTCCTGGTACCAGATTTCTGAGCTAACCTAACTAGCACGCTAACCTAGACTTCACTTAAATTATTATTTTAACCTTTCCGATCATCCTTCGACAATTAATATATCTCGCTGATAACTAGACTTTCTGAGTAACCTACCTAGCACGCTAACGTTAACCTCCTTTAATTTTTACTTTTAACCTTCTGAATCTACCTCGCACATTATATTCTCCTGATGAGCAAAGATTTATATATCTGAGCTAGACCTAACTAAGCACGCTAACTGTAAAATCTCGACTTTAAATTTTATCTTTTACCTTCGATCTCGTCTCGCCATTTATATTCTCTTCTGATACAGATTTCTGAGTTAAACCTCACTAGCACGCTAAGCCAAACTCAGTACGTAATTTTATTGTTAACCTTAAAGATCTCTGCACATTATATTCTCCGAATACCAGATTTCTGTAGCTAACCCTAACTAGCTACGCTAACGCTAACTCTCTTAAAATTTTATTTTTAACTTCGATCTCTCTGCACATTATATTCTCCTGAATTTACAGATTTCTGGCTTAACTAACTAGCCAAGCTAACTAACTCACTTAAATTTTTTTACCTTCGAATCTCCTCGCACATTATATTCTC